CCCTGGACGCTGCCCGGAAGTGTGGGTGAGCACCGGACTCAGACAGGAGGTGCGGCTGCCCGAGGGGCACGGCTGTCAGTGCCCGCGACCCGGCTCTGACTGGCGTGTGCCATGTGCGCCTCAGGACAGCCGGGCGGGGCTGGGTCGCCTGTGTGGGTGGCTGCAGGGCGTCAGCACAGAGGACGGGTTTGCTCTGGTCAGGATTGGGGCGCGTCTGGGCCACACTCTGTCTCTGCCCCCTTCCCTTAGGGTGTCTTGCGGTGCTGTTTATATGTTCTGTTTCTATTTACTTTGTACTTTCCCCCTAAGCGGTGTCTGCCTTAGAGTACCTGCGCTTGCCGGAGAGACAGAGAGGAAAAGGGGAAGTGAGAGATGACCCCTGGGGGATGGCCCATTGAGGGGCTGGAGCCCCGGTCCCCCGCCTGGCCATGCCGTCGTCCTCGTCTGGGACCCCCTCCCTGGCCTGCTGGTGATGCAGCACCCTCCCGTCTGAGCATCTGATGGCGGGCTGGTCCTCGGGGAGTCTGAGTGGGAAGGCTTTCTCATCCTCCAAGGTCGTTCTGTCGTGGGCTGAGAAACACGTGTGCATGCGTGCCCTGGCCAAAGTGGCCTCCGGGTGGCCCTGCTGCCCCAGGGCTCCCAACCTCCAGCTGTGCCTGGGCCGTGCTCATGAAACAGGACGTCAGGGCCAGGGTGGGCGCCTTGACCCGGGACGGCCTCCTCTGGAGGCCTTGCTCCTTGCTCTGGGCCTCACGGGCCCTGGCTCTGCTGGCAGTGGCTGGTCCCGCCGCTCCCCACCCCCCCTCTCGCACTTGGTGGTGAGGATGCCGTGCACTGTCCCCCAGGCGGCCACCGCCAGGCGTCCACAGACGTGGAGGGAGCAGCCAGGGGCAGAGGGGCTCTGCGTGCCGCGGAGCACAGCTCTGGTCTAGGCCCCTTGGCACGCTGTCGGGTGGCACCCTACACACTGGGACAGCCCGGCCTTCGCCCTGAGAGTCCCACTGTGTGCAGGGCATGCGGCAGCTGGCCTGTGCCCCAGCCTGCACCGGCGTCCAGTGCTTAGCTCCCCTGGGTGGCAGGGGGAGCCTGGGCTTTCTCCTAAGGTCGCGTCTTGCACTAGTTGGGTCCCGCCCACCTCTAGGGAGAGGGATCTTTGCTCTTCAGCAACCCTGTTGGATCCGGGGAGGCCTCTGTCTTTCGGGATTGTGGAGGTAGAAGGGCAGGGGACCCTGCAGAACTAGGCAAGTGGGGCATCCAGGTGGGACAGACGTAGCCTGCCACGTGGTGGCATGTGTGACACAGGAGGGGCAAGTGGCCATGCCCCTTCTTAGCAAGAGCTGCAGCGGCTGTCGGGGTACAGGTGGGGTTTGCTGCTGGGTCACCGAGGGCCATGTCCACGGCCCACCGTGGGCTCAGGTGTGGGGAGGCTCTGGACGGCCGCAGTGCCAGCTTGCAGCTGCCTGGCCCTGACTGCACCCACCGTGCAGCAGAGGCAGGCCATCTCTGCCTCGCTGGCTCTGGACACACCTGTCCACTGGGACTTGGCGTGGGTGTCTATTAGGGGGAGGCCCCTGTCCTTTGCATGGGGTCGTGCGAGAGTGGGCAGTGAGGGTGATGTGCACACGGGACCCCCTTTGAGTCGAGCATGTGCTTGGTCCTTTGGCCACGGCGTTCAAGGGGCCCCGCCTCTAGGAAGTTGGGTCGAGGTGGCAGGGGTCTCTGCTCCCACTCCGGTACATCGTGTTTCTGGGAGGCTCCTCTTGGCCCTGTAGCCCTGCCTGTCCGCCCCCCTCCTGCCCCCAGCGTGGCCGGCAGCCCCAGCCTTGCCATGCTCAGGAACAGCAGCCCTCAGGCTCGCGTCCTCCACCCTGGGCTCTCTGCCTGGAGCCGTCAGCGGGCCAGGTGAGGGGGGCTGCCGTGACCCTCGTGCTCTCGTGCAGGTGGTGCTCTGGGTCGGCCTGGGTGTCCTGGTGGTCAGCACCCTCACCACCCTGTCCGTGAGTGACGAGGCCCCTGCGGACCTGGCCAAGGAGGCCCCTGGCAGCCAGCTCGGAGAGGACGAGGGTGTGGCGAAGGCGGAGGCAGCCCGACTCGCAGGTACGCACACAGGTCCTGGCCTGGTCGGGGCGGGGCTCACCTGGCCGTGGGGAGCAGGTGTGCTTTCCAGGCTGGCTCTGAGCTTAGCTCTCCTGCCCAGCCTCTCAGCCCCACGTGGGAGTGGAGCCGCCAGCTGTGCCCACAGCACTCCGGGTGGGGACTGGCCAGTGCAGGGGCCAGGCCTGCCCGTGCAGCTGCCAGCGTGCTCGTGCCCTCACACCTGGCCACGTGGTGCCGACGGGCATGTGAGCGTGGCGCTAAGGTCACAGCTTGTTTTGGGGAACATCAGTTTTGAGCTAAGTGCTCTGTGCTGTCGGCCGGCTAGGCTGTAGGTCTGCTCACCAGGCCGTGGCTGGCCATGCACCCCCGCCATCTGTGGCACACCTGTGGAGGTGCGGGGGTGGGCATGGGTTTTGGCACGGGCTGCCTGGTGGACAGGGCTCGGGAAGGTGGGGCCGGCTGTGTGTGTGCGGCACCGCGGCCCGTGTGCCCAGAGGCCTAGGCTGCACCATGGCACACGGAGCCCCTGCCTCCTGCCTGCCCCAGCCTGCTCCCTCGAAGTCCGTGACACCTGGCTGGCTGCCTGTGGAAGACGGCGTATGGCATCCTCTCACCATGAAGGAGTTCACAGAGCAACGTGGCATCCATGGTGCTGGCGTGATTCAGGACGAGCTTTATAGTTCAGCCCTGAGGGGACGGCTCCCTCGCGGCAGCTCAGTTATTGTCAGAGTCGCCTGAAAGCAGGGCTCTTACAGAGCCACGTCTGGTGGCTGTTCTCATTGCTGGGTGCACGTTTGGGCTCCTGTGTCTCCTCTCCTTGGGCTGTCCTCGGGTGGAGGGCAACGTGGTGCAGGGCCAGGTCTGGACACCCTTGAGTGGTGGACCAGCAGTGGAGCGGGGCCAGGCCTGGACACCCTCAGGTGGAGGGCAGCATGGTACACGGCCAGGCCTGGACACCCTTGGGTGGAGGGCAGCGTGGCGTGGCCGTCCTTGGGTGGAGGGCAGCGTGGTGCAGGGCCAGGCCTGGACACCCTTGAGTGGTGGACCAGCAGTGGAGCGGGGCCAGGCCTGGACACCCTCAGGCGGGTGGAGGGCAGCGTGTGCAGGGCCAGGCCTGGACACCCTTGGGTGGAGGGCAGCGTGTGCAGGGCCAGGTCTGGATACCCCTCCCTCGGGGCTGGCAGCTAGACCTCTGTCGTCACTGACCACTGGACACACTGCGGTGCCCAGCCCTGAGGGGAAGCCGGTGCTGGTGCAGTCAGGATGGTGTCCTTTCCCCTCCTGGGGCACCATTCACTCCATCGTCCCCGAGAGCCGAACCCCAAGAACAGCCCAGGCCTAGCCTGGCAGCCTGGGTGCACAGCGTGCAGGTGGAGGTGCCACGGCTGTCCCTCAGTGACACCGAGGGAGCGCTGTCACTGTCCCACATTCCAGGAGGAGCTGGCAGGCTGTGCTATGGCCCTCGTACAATTACCACATGGTGGGCTTTGGCTATTGGTGAGCAGAGTCGACCACTGGGGACGTAGGCAGGTGGCAGGGGTGGCTGGGACGCTGGCCGGGGGGGCGGGGCCGCTGCCCGCCATACCTCCAAGTAGCCCTGCTGCCACCCGTCCCCGAACCCCCACGCTCCTGTGCCGGGCTACTACCGGGCCGGTCAGTATTCTGTGCAAGGGCAGCATCACACCCGCACAGGGCCGCCCCCTGCTGTTACCGTGGTCACATCGCAGTTGGGAGCCGTGGCGGAGCTCTGTAGGAGCCCTTGCAGGCTGGCATCCCTGAGGCAAAGGCTCTCGTCTGGTAAGGCCATATCCACGGCCTGGGCCGGCCTGGCCGGGAGCTGCGTGGGCTCCTCACACGCTCCGTCCTGCTGCTCTGGGAGGGCTGTGCTCCTGGTTTGGAGAGAGGCTCTCGTAAAACGAGGGTCCCTTTCTGCCTTTCCCCTGCCATCCCGAGCAGGCTGCGTGACGTCCTCTCGGCTGCTGCACGGCTCCTGTCCCATTTCCCCCCCTTTCCTGGGCAGCCTGTGTCCCTGGGCCCGAGTACTAAGGTCGTTGCGGGCTTCCAGGGTGGAGATGGCGCGTTCTTCCAAG